TCCGTTAGGCTTTGTGAGTCCTGTAGTAGTTTGTGCAAAATTACTAATGCAGCGAATTTGGGTGCGCAAACTTTGTTGGGATGATGAACTTCCAAAGGATCTTAAGGAAACTTGGAAAACCTTTTCAAGTAAATTAAGTGATTTAAGCAACTTGAAAATATCAAGATGGGTTTTTGAGTCTAAGGATATCATTGAGATTTAACCAATTCAGTGCTCCCAAGAAAATTAAACTTTCATTTCCGACATTGTTATACATTTTAAATTTGCAAGAGCGACATCAAACTCAGTTGCTTTTGCCCCTTTTTTTCAGCAAATATTAGCCTGAATGCTTGTTTGCAGTTGTGATTTTTCATAGAAAACCTCCATATTTCGGAATTTTTTAAAGAAAAATGAGCTTGTTTATTTACATCGAGCCATTCTGCTCTAAATTGGCCGCGAAAAAACCACTTTCATCAATCCAAACCTTCCGTCCATGTTTAAATAATGAAAACTCTTTTGTTGGCAAAATCCAATCGAGAAAAAATCGCCTGAATACCACCTGACAAAAGCAAACTGTTTCAATTTGATGCCATTTACAATCGAAATGAACAAGAGATTTTCGAATTGATATCATATGTAGATAATTATCTTTCAAACGGCTGGAGTCTATAGAATAGGAAAACGATTAGCGGATTGAATGGAAGCTTTATAGGTGTTCACAGTTAGGTTTGGGCTGTTTTATCCTTTATATGTACTATGGAATTCGTAATTTTTATCGGCGACCATTAATCAACGTTATTCTGAATATTTTCAGAGTTTTTTTCAATAAATTGATTGCTATCGGATCTTTTAGGTGGATTTTTGCTGTTTCATGTCAATGGTGTAACCAATAATTGCTCAGTGTTAATTCATTAAAAAAATGCCATTAGACTTGCAATGGTAGATTTCTAAAGGCTTCAGATGGATTACCGAGGCCAAAATGAGCGTGTCAGCTTGGCTTTGTCGCCAATTTCGATTTAACACTGTGAAAAAGTTGATTCGATTTAATATGGGGCCCACATATGGCGATCGACGGGGAGCTTGTAATATATTCTTCGGCTTCTTTCTGAATTGTTATCCCAAAAATCAGATAAAGCCTTTTGGCTGTTCGGCCTGATGCAATGATGATGATTCTTCTTGAACGCAACAGAGCGGCATTTGAAAAATTTTTCGTTCCTTACCTTTTTTCTCGGGACCTAGTTTTATTGGAAAACATTTTCAAAAACTGTGGGTCTCAAATATGCACTTCTTTGCTTGAAAACTTAGTTTTCTGGCACTTTTGTGGTTAGTGTGGTTGGTTTTCAAAGTATGCTCTTCAAAACTTTAAATCGGTTCAATCTTCTGCATGAAAAACGCACGAAATCCACAGAGTTTGGTCGATTTTGAGCAAGTTGCTTTTTCAGAGAATGTGAAAGTGAAGTTGTCGAAGAAGTGAAAGTGGCCGCAACTGAACCGCTGATTCTTGAAATTATACGCAACGATTGAGTAGTGTTAATCAAAAACAAGCACAAAAACCCGAGAAATCATTCGAAATGATCGACGGAGGTTTTTCTTGATGTCCATTGGCATTTGCAAAGCCTTGAAACTAGTTGAAAATCGTCGAAAATAGTTTTTTTGCAAATTCTACGTACATTTTGAGTCACCCTGTAAAACAAATCGAAATAAAACCATGAAAATAAGACAATAAGAATATTTTATTATAAAATTATATACAATTTATACATAATGGCATAGTACATAGTCGTTACACAACATAAACCATCTAAGTAATATAAATAAGTAAAAAATTTCGATAACAAGTAATAACATAAATTAACCTTACCTAATCAGAGAATGACTAACGAACATTTGCAAGGCCCGAATACCATTAGTGCAATTTAAGTTTAAACTAGAAGAGCAACTAGGAAAAGTGATGCCGCTAAATTGGCATTTTCTGGTAAATGTCTCTGCAAACGTTCCCTAAATTAATATCCATTTTTCGGTTGCAGAATGCAATCACCACTGAACTTAAGCCTCTATCACTTGATTTAATGGACGAATATACTAAGAGCTACACGACGGCAAATTATACAAGGAAAAAATGGACGGTCAAAGAGCTTGTTCCTTCTTCAATTTCCATTATTTGAAACATTTATAACACAGCCTGTACATACCAATTTACACCTCCGATAGTCTGGAAAAAGTTTTTTGGAAAATCGTTCACTACTTAGAGTCGATTATTAGTCCGACTTCCCCTATTTGAAGCAGAAGAAGTCGTTCATTCATAACACTATGCCGATTTTATTTTGGAGATTCAGCCAACGGCTTTGAGTTCAGTTCCACAACTTATCCTTTCTTGGTTGATCCGTTTGGTTTGCCTGAAACAAAAAAAAACCGAGTTAATTAACAATTAGACGTCAACTATTTGTTTCCAATAATGCAACCGGTAGCAAAAAATGACTGTACGTTATTAAACTGATTTAATGCTTGAACTGATTCCCCGTAACTCTCTCTAATGAAGCTTGGAGAACTAATAAAAATGCGTCACCATTAAGATGGCTTTAATGAATTCGTTATCGATTTGATGGAACGGTGACTCGGAATTTTTGGTTCGAAAAACTTGATAGGTATGCAGAAGATTCAAATGTAATTTAAGGCGTCGATGCGCTGATAAAATAGCAGTTTGTGAGCGATTCACTGTGGAAGGAACTATCCAGGCTCACAAATAATTGGTTTAAATAAGAGCCAATTTATTTGGGCTCGATACAACAATGAGGGGTTTGATGTTGGCTCAATTTACCCGTCAATTTTGGGCGAAGAAATTAAATCCAAAACGAACATGTGCACGAAGCCTGTCGGCCGAAATTCGCCCGCCCCCAAGGTACCGTATCCCAACCTTTCGGAATGCTGAGGTCAATTTCCCTTTCAAAATTAAAAATTAAAATTTCTATCAAAATGCAGCCCGCGTGCACTGGCGGTGCAATTTTCTCTCAAATTAAAACCCGCAACAAAAGTCGAGCTGTACGCGCCTGGACAACGTGTAATTATTCTCGGACAGTAGTTGGCCGTGCAATCAGCCCGGCTACCGTCCTGCGGCCTCGAACCAATTAATTGGCCCATCAGGATTTACTATCCTGCAGGGTGTTATTTTGGTGCCAGTGCCGTGTCTTCGCCACACTATTTCGAAAAATCGTGCAAAATGCCCTAAAACTTCATCGCAAGGATCGCGAGGTGGATATTGAGCTCGAAGAAAGAACTCGCTGGGAGCTTCTGAGACGAAATCGTGGAAAATTTTGGCTGTGGTTCAAATGGACAGTTTTCTAAGAGTCAGAAGAAGATGTTAAAGTTAGTGTTTTTTGCTGAGCTCGTAGCATTCCTCGCTACTTTCTGATGAAAATGAGGTAGAATTCGAGGCATTTTAAAAGACTTGGTCGTTTTTTCGAAAATCGACCACTTCCCCCAAAATAAAAATAGAAATTTCACAAGCGTGTTTTCTGAGCTCATTGGATTGGTTCCGACCCAAGAAGGTTCCCAGTATCCACATTTTTTCGGGTCTGTAATAAGGTTGAAATCGTCGGAAAAAACGGCTCAAAATGGACAAAAAATGTCGATTATTTTGGATTTGAAAGTTGGAGCTGGTTTTTCAATGAACTTGTTGCATTCCTCGCTTCATTCTAATTAAAATAATGTCAAATGGGAGGTATTTTGGGGTATTTAATTTTTTTTGAAAAAATCGACCCTCCCCCCTTATTAAAATTTCGGTCAAAAATCAAAATTTTGCAACCGGATTTTTTGCCGTCATTGGATCGTTTCCGATGTAAGAAGTTTTGTAATATACATATATAAAGTTTTTCGGTTTGTAATAAGGAAAATATCGTCGGTTGAAAGGCGTGCCTCAAAATGGACATAAAATGTCGATTATTTCGGATTTGAAAGTTGGAGCTGGTTTTTCAATGAACTTGTKGCATTCCTCGCWTCTKTCTGATKAAAATAATGTCAAATKCGAGGYATTTTGRGGGATTTTAWTTTTTTTGAAAAAATCGACCCTCCCCCCTTATGAAAATTTCGGTSAAAAAYCAAAATTTTACAACMGGATTWTTTGCTCTCATTGGATCRTTTCYGATGTAAGAAGCTTCCTAATWTACATRTATAAMGTTTTTGMGKCTGTARTAAGGAAAATATCGTCSGTTRAAAGTCGTGMYCGCGCAAAAACTCCTCAAAATGGACAAAAAATGTCGATTATTTCGGATTTGAAAGTTGGAGCTGGTTTTTCAAGAAACTTGTTGCATTCCTTCCATCTTTCTAATGAAAATAATGTCAAATTCTAGGCATAATGGGGGATTTTTATTTTTTTGAAAAAATCGACCCTCCTTTATGAAAATTTCGGTCAAAAATCAAAATTTTACAACCGGATTTTTTGCTCTCATTGGATCGTTTCCGATGTAAGAAGCTTCCTAATCTACGTATATAAAGTTTTTGGGTCTGTAATAAGGAAAATATAATCCGTTAAAAGTCGTGACCGCGAAAAAATGCCTCAAAATGGACTGGATTATTTGTTACATTTATCGCTTCTTTCTAATGAAAATGATGTAAAATTTGAGGCGATTTGAAAAATTTTTTGAAAAAATCGGTTCTTCCCCCTTATTCAAATTTCGGTCAAAAAACAAAATTTCAAAAACGATTGAAAATTGCTTCGATTCTTTCGGATCTGACGATCCAAGTGTTTTTTAGTGAGCTCGTCCATTCCTCGCTTCTTTGCAATGAAAATGTAGAAATCGAGGCCTTTTAAAAGACTTGGGATTTTTTTGCTAAAATCGACCACTGAAAATTTCGGTCAAAAATAACAAATTTACAAGTGTGTTTTTTGCGCTCAATGGATTTTTTCCAAAGAGACCAATCAGCTTTCTAGTTTTGCATTAGGCTCATGATCCAACCTGGGCACACTTTTGATCCCAGTAAAAACTATGCGAGAATTGTTCGACTCTGATTCAGTTCACATGTTAATCACACATGTTTGTGCTCCGCCCCATTTAGCCCAATGTATTGAATGTAGAACTAATGAATTGAAACAGGACGATCGAATGTTTGGCCTGACCGATGACCGGACTTAGCCCCGTTGGAAATATGGTTAAAATATCTTCCAAACAAAATTTTTAACTCAAAGACGAGTCGTCACTGTTCAAGACCACGAACCGAAAACTTTCAGGAGGAATTTCTAAAATAATAAGTTGCCATCCGAAGAGATCCGTTTAGCTCGGGGCTTTGCCGCTGGTTACTCGCCTAATCGGTAATAGTAGTTTTGCATGAGCAGCCTTCGTGATTGGCGAAGGGCGCAGCCTTCTAATTAATATAAATCGTCTTAGCCTGTTTCAAAGTGTGCTAACACACACAGACTGGCATTCGACTGTTCTCAGCTAACGGATGACTAGATTAGGCAGTGGCAGTTATCCTACGAAGGCATTTGCTTAATTGGTAAGTTAGACGTCTTTTTAGGGAAAGGTGTTTTCGCTGGTCGGCTTTTCTTCTTCGGCATTTACATAAAATTACTTTCATATCAATCAACCATGCGAGAACATACTTGGAGATCTAGAAAAACGTTGGTTGTGAAACAAAAGTTAAGCTTGTTAAATGCCCCAATTTGAATGATTACTTTCCAGCTCACGCAGAAAAGTCTATGCATTTTTGGCGCACGCAACCTGATGGAATCAGAACACTTAATGGCTCTAAATYAGTTTTGCATACSAAATTTAGCCCGAAGTTGSAAATTCCCGWTRGACTTTGAGTTTGAAAAATGAAGCCAATCTAAWCCAGCTTACCTGTATGAAGGAACAAGTGATTCTTTAGGTTCGTATGTTTGGAGAATCCTCTGGAGCAAATGTGGCATTTAAAGGGCCAAGACCCGGAATGGACATACATGTGCGACCTTAAATCGCCTGGAGTTGGGAACGATTTGCTGCAAAGGTTGCATTTGTGTGGTTTGTCCTGGAAAATAAAAAATCAGTTAGTAATTTCCTAATCCGGTATAGATCGAAATGGATGGCCGGAAATTGAGCAAACCCATTGGCTCTCACTGTAGTTTATGACGACTCGGTTCCCACGGAATATTTAAACATATAAAGCGCATTAATTGAAGCGCAAAACTGGTCATCCTAATTTATTGACAAATAAATCAAAACCTCGTTAAATTAAACAGCGCGTTCAAAAATCTGCCTAGCTAATGAAGAGCCTAAACCATCACATCCAGCCAGAAATCGTATTAGTTAGCGATCGTTCTTAGGCGAAAAGCTTTGTTTACTGCACAAGTCAAAACTTAATGGACTTTTTATACCGACAGCCAGCAACTTGTTAAAGCCACAAATTTATGTGGGAATTTTTCGAAAGGATCTTTACTCGATTCTTTGTGATACGGGTCAAGAAATCCCCTAGAACCGACAATGTTAAGGTTGAACCCACCGAAGCGTCTGATGTTTGCTTAGAATAAAATGAGCGTGTTTCACCGTGCAATCATTTTATTGTAATAAGGAAAATGATGCGATGAATAAACGTTTTATCCACTAAGAATTCATTGTTTCGATTTTGGTTTCAGCCAAAGGTTGAACAATTCTGAAGCTAAAATTGGTGAATTTTTCGGGATTCGCATGAAATACATCGAATACTTTTGAATGTGGAAGATGTGACGAGCCCTTCGGGCACGACAATGATTTTGACATAAAAAAAAACCTCTAAACGTGCCGATTAATCAGTTTTTGGAAAATATCAGTGTCGCACCCGCAGGTCTCGGCACAACAACTACATCAGACACTTTTAAATGCTATTGTTGTGCCGACCTGTTTGGTCACGACGCTGGATTACGCGCAAAAAGACTCTAAAGTAGCCGATTAATCAGTTTGGAATGTCTTTGCTGTGCCGATCCCCCGGGCACAACACTGATTTTTTTTCAAAACGTGTTTGTTGTAGATGTTGTGTCGATCCCTTTGAGAACGACACTGATTCAACTCAAAAAACATTCTAAACTTGCCGATTGATCAGATGTTGCAAAAAATGAGTGTCGCGCCCGGAGGGCTCGGCACAACAACTACATCAGACACTTTTGAATGCTATTGTTGTGCCGATCTGTTTGGTCACGACCCTGGATTACGCGCAAAAAGACTCTAAAGTAGCCGATTAATCAGTTTGGAATGTCTTTGAGGTGCCGAGCCCCCCGGGCACGACACTGATTTTTTTTCAAAACGTGTCTGTTGTAGATGTTGTGTCGATCCCTTTGAGAACGACACTGACTCAACTCAAAAAACGCTCTAAACTTGCCGATTAATCAGATGTTGCAAAAAATCAGTGTCGTGCCCGGAGGGCTCGGCACAACAACTACATCAGACACTTTTCAATGTCATTGTTGTGTCGACCTGTTTAGTCACGACCCTGGATTAAGTGCAAAAAGACTCTAAAGTTGCCGATTAATCAGTTTTGAATGTCTTTATTGTGCCGAGCCCTCCGGGCACGACACTGATTTTTTTTCAAAACGTGTCTGTTGTAGATGTTGTGCCGACCTGTTTGGTCACGACCCTGGATTAAGCGCAAAAAGGCTCTAAAGTAGCCGATTAATCAGTTAGGAATGTCTTTGCTGTGCCGAGCCCCCGGGCACGACACTGATTTTTTTTCAAAACGTGTTTGTTGTAAATGTTGTGTCGATCCCTTTGAGAACGACACTGATTCAACTCAAAAAACACTCTAAACTTGCCGATTGATCAGATGTTGCAAAAAATCAGTGTCGTGCCCGGAGCGCTCGGCACAACAACTACATCAGACACTTTTCAATGTCATTGTTGTGCCAACCTGTTTAGTCACGACCCTGGATTAAGTGCAAAAAGACTCTAAAGTTGGCGATTAAGCAGATTTGAATGTCTTTGCTGTGCCGAGCACCCGGGCACGACACTGATTTTTTTTCAAAACGTGTCTGTTGTAGATGTTGTGCCGACCTGTTTGGTCACGACCCTGGATTAAGCGCAAAAAGGCTCTAAAGTAGCCGATTAATCAGTTAGGAATGTCTTTGCTGTGCCGAGCCCCCGGGCACGACACTGATTTTTTTTCAAAACGTGTTTGTTGTAAATGTTGTGTCGATCCCTTTGAGAACGACACTGATTCAACTCAAAAAACACTCTAAACTTGCCGATTGATCAGATGTTGCAAAAAATCAGTGTCGTGCCCGCAGGGCTCGGCACAACAACTACATCAGACACTTTTGAATGCCATTGTTGTGCCGACCTGTTTGGTCACGACGCTGGATTACGCGCAAAAAGACTCTAAAGTAGCCGATTAATCAGTTTGGAATGTCTTTGTTGAGCCGAGCCCTCCGGGCACGACACTCATTTTTCTTTCAAAAAGAGTCTGATGCAGTTGTTGTGTCGCGCCCTATGGGAACGGCACTGATTTTAATGCACAAAAACACCCTAAACTTGCAGATTGATCAGTTGTTAACTGGCCATTTGGCAAGTTAACATTGTTTTTCTGTTGTTGCCGCATCGAGCAAACTCACCAATTTCAATCAAATTTGGCGTCAAATACCGTTTTAAAAGATAGAAACTATTAACATAATAATTTCAATAACAAAATTAAATATAAAAGAAAAGCAAAACAAAACGCAAGAAATTGTTTACCGTTCCCAGTAGGTACCTACTATTAATTATTAGTGACTCGCATATTTCAATATTTAAACAAGAAGATTGAAAGTTACTAATCCGGTCATCGACAGTCTTCACCTTAGTTGTTTGTGTGCTTTCTATCGGGCTCTCTTTTTCCATTTGTAATTAAATTGTTTCATATTTATAAGGGCCTGCAACGGGCATTATTAGCTTAGCTGCGTTTCCCACTGTAGATTAGAAACGCCTCTTCAACTCAAAAAATAATTAAAAAAGACACCCCGTAAATTAATCATATGTTGGTTTTTGTCTACGGTACGGAATCGGATTCGTTCCACCTTGGAGGAATGTTTACGTCCATATATCTGAGGCAAAGTTCATTTTTCTTCATTCAGGAAACAATATTATTAATCGCGCTGTTGTCGCAATGCTTCAGTTTTAAGAGAAAGTACCTACTTTGAAAGCCCGATATGGTGGCAATATTAATTCCGCAGTTTACGCATTTGTGTTGCTGTTCAAAAACTTTGGAAAGCTTCCAATGCGGGGATCACATAGGCAAAAGAGCAAGGTTTTGGCGCAGAGTTGGCATCGAGGCCGCCCCCCAGGTATGCAAAAGGAACAGGTGCCTTGGGCTGGGAAAAAACTGAATCTTTGAGCACTTTGGACCTATAGAAGACGTCAAAGGCATAATTTATGGCCCTGGTTCGGGGCATGGAAAATTAGTTGTCATAATTTCCCTCCTGTAATGTGGAGAAATGATTGACTATTTCCACCTCAATTGACTGAGGAAGCTTAATTTTCCGTTTATTAGTGCGTCACTGGCATAGACAACTTCCCCACTACTAATAGCAACATAATCCGATCGGTATCTTGCTCAGAATCTTCCAATCCAATCTCGCACGGATTCCGAGTGTGATTGATCATAAATAGCCACTGGCACCCAGTCTTTTCCATTTAAAACGTCCATCAGGTGTCAATCGGCGTCCACACAATCTGTTTAATGCCGCTTCTTCAGTTCTTCCTCTTGGTCTTCGTTTTTATTCTTGATTTTCAGTCACTCATTCTGTCACCCGTCACTCCCGATTGGATATCCGAGACAAATGCTGCCGCGTTCGTTTGTTGCTTGCTCGTCGGCCAGACCATGTTGGATTAAAGCATGTTGCGTTTGCATACAAATGTGTACGATCTAGCAGATTCCATCCGCGTCGGAAAATGAATTCGATTTTTCGGGAACGCTTCAATCAAGATAAACGGATCGTCTTCACTGTTTCCCATAAAGGCACTTGCTTCATGCCCCCACGGCATAATTAGAGATTTAAATGCAGACAACCGATTAAGTGGGGCACTGGGTGCTCCACGCCGGCTGAACTCCGTGTGAACTTCTTCAGAAGTTCATGGTTCAAGAGTCACCAGGGGCCCTCTTATTGTCTGTTAAGGTGCCCTCTCGTCAGGTGTCATCAACGGTTACGGCCTTGGCGGGTATCTTCAGCTACGAGGATTATTGATGGGAAATGTTGAAGAGTTTTGTGTTGAAGAACTGTGTGAAGTAGGGAAAATGGGACAGGAATCACTAGGAGGACGGATGTGGAAAATGGATAAGGAACAACATTTTTGTAGCTTCTTAGCGTTATCTCTTTGTAATTTCTAATGGCAACTTCATTTTAGTGCATAATTTTAGCTTTGCCGAGTTATTTTTTAAGTCCATGCATGTACACCTTTGCGCTTTTCCAATTAGAGGCAGCAGGCTTTTTTCAAGCAAATTTGTCCTCACTAGCCTTTCAATCGAATTGTTCTGTTCTTAAACAAACCTTTTTTTGTTTTCAACCAACGGCGTAAATTGAGTTATTTATTTCCTCTAAAAAATCTATTGCGTCTCCCATTAACCACTCTTAATCGACTTTTCTCTAGGCAATATTTCGAGTTGTTCTGTGATTAATAGAATTCTGTCTGATGCTTAATTCATTCTCTCAAATTTCACTTTTCTCTCGGCCTTAGTTCGAATTATTTATAACCAAATCTAGTGGACGAATTTGTCATAATTTGAGACATTTTCACCAGTTGATCCAACCAATTCGATTCTTTTCATAAACGAATCAGTTGAACTATTGACGTGGAAAAAATCACATTTTCCCGAAGCAAATTTAGAGACATTGGCGACTGAAATTTTTCTATGAAAGCATTCAATAAATATTTTCAAGCAGAAGTAAACTGAAGCATCTTTTTTGTCAGTCCTGGTAGAATTTCCCACAGTTCGACGTTAAACTCTGTTAGAATAGCGGCGTTCAAGTTGAGCGATTTTCATGCCTTAAACCCAAGAAACTTATTCACGTCTTTGTGTGGTTTTGTCACAGATAGCACGTATATTGAAATTATATGTGAGCGTCCCCAACCGTTTTTAACGTTTCCCACAAAAACCCGAAATATGAAATATTGACTTCCGGCACCACAGCGGCGAAGGAATTTGCAAATATTCAATTGATAATTCAGACGATTCATGTAAAACTGCAGCTGCAAAATTAACACTTACCACTAGCACAAAGAAGAAAAACGACGAGTGCTAAATCGGGGGAAAAAACTCGATAAATTCTGCTGGCCTTAACAGATTTAAAAAGTTAAGTCCTTCATTTAGAGGATTATGTTCATCAAGGATGAATGTCACACACCTGTCGACTGAGAATTTAATGCCATTACAACGCGTATTACTTGGCTAAGGATGTATTAATTTATGGTATTTTCTTCAACGAGCTGTCGCTTCTAGACGAGTATTTGCCTAATTCTTCAGCTTTGTCTACGACTTCTCAAACGGCGTGCCTATGAAACACGGGCAAAGTTTTGAACGCTTCAATATACATGACGATACAATCAGTTTTGATTGTTTCTGGGCGATTTGGAGATCTTAAGCAACTTATTGAAGCAAAAAGTGTCTTTAGAAGTGCGCAAACTGTTCCGTTTTCTCAGTTTTTAAACAACCATTTCTTCAAAAAATTACAGTGCATCGAAGCATCAATGCACTGTAATTTACAACGAATAGCTACCTAATTTCCAATCGTTTTATTGGGAAAATCTTCCAGGTTCGCAATTTTCTTTGAAGGGCAAGAGAACGGAACTTTGTCGATCCCGATGGCTTCCTCGACCCAAAAAGTAACGAACGTTTTTATCAGTTGACCAGAACAGGTGTTTCCGATCGGATACCATCAACCCATCCATCCGTCCGTCCTTTTTCAAATAAAAATCCCGCCACAATCCACCTTGCACCCATCCAACACGATGGTACTGCCTAAAACGGGCGCAGGCCATGTGTTACATCATAATTACAATAATTCCGCTTTTTTCCTCGTTCTTTTTTTTAAGTCACATTCAATGAGGCATATGGGAGCCCCATTTGGTACAATGAGACGTCACTGGCTCGATGAAAAGGGTGAATTAGGGCTTAAGTGGTCAGATTTGTCAAGAAGTTGACGTGGGTAACAGCAGGTAGCTTATTGAATCAGGGATTAAAAAGTTATTAGAAATGACTGGTTCGTTGATGGGTAGCCTGGGAAAGTTTCCCTTTTTAGTCCAAATTTTAACTTTAATAGTAAATCAAAGGAATTCCCGAATTGAGTCAAATGGGCCTTTTTTCTTGTGGAGCAGCAAGTAGGTTTTGTCAAAATCCTGAAAACGGCTGGACGGATATGCACGCACGACTAATTTCTGCTCTGCATCTCAAACAGCAAAAATTAATGTTTTTTACGTCTAAAAATGGTAGTCGTTAAAAGGATGCAATTTTTATGCAAAATCACAACAATAACGCAGACAGATATTTGTTATCAAACAAGCGGTGTCAGCGCGAATTTGTGGTTAGTTTTTACATTGTGCTCTTCAAAGTTTCAAATATATAACTAATGCAGTTTAGTAAAAGCCAATTATTTTTGCTGAAAAAGTGCAAGCATTTTGATTACTTGTAAAGTAGGTATTTGTCGACAAACGTTGGAGCGTATTTGTGGTTAGTTATTAAATTGCGCTCTTCGAAACTTCAAATGTTAAACATTAAACTAATTCTTGTGAGAGAGTGGACGAACTTCCATATCACTTTGCATATGAAAAATGCATTTTTCGATTTACCCCTGGTTTCTCGGGAGAAAAATGCAGTTAAAAATTGCTCAGGTTGCAAGGGCTTTCCATCATCAATTAAGCTACGTATATGTTTTTCGCCAATTGTTCCTCAAGAAGAGGGTTCATCTAGACATGCCCCAAATCATCGGTTTATTTCAAAAAAAATATTTGGTTCTCATCGAAAATATGCCCAGAAAAGGCCCGACACAAGAAATACACTATTCAGTTTAGGTTAAAAAATCAAGCTCCACTCTCGTGCATCGATAAAGTGAAACTCAAATGGCGCAACTAAATGCTACGGAATTTCCACTAAAATCTCAATTTCGACTGGAAAACCAGACACTGACTCAGTTTTAAACCCCGAAAAAATAATTGTGGTCTCACCTTAATATGCGTCATGCGATGATAGTAAAGATTACTCGACGCTGTAAACCGCTTAAGACAAACCGGGCACTGATGAGGTTTCTCTCCACTGTGGATCCTTCGATGGGTGTTGAGTGAGGACGATGTGCTGAACCCCTTGCCGCAAACCATGCAAACATGAGGCTTTTCACCTGAAAAACCCAAAAATGTTTACTATTTTTGTGGCGATTTAAAAGCCAATACTGACCTGTATGCGTCCTCATATGTCTCTTCAGCAAAGACGGTCGGTCGAAGGCTTTACTGCAAACTCCACATGGGAGTAACGTGCGCTCACGGGGCCGCGCCCTCGGAGTGGGAACAGTCGACTCTGGAAGATCGCCCTGCGAAGAAGCGGCAGAAGAATCTCCGGAAACCGATTTTCGTTCATCCTGTTCGGATGGTGGAGAACCGGATAGGGCGCGAGTGAGCAGCGACATGGAGAGATCAAGGGGAGAATCTGCAACAATAAAACCGCATAAAAACCTCAGGTTTTTCCTAAGTGAAACGCAGACAGCGTAAGTAATCGGCTGCTCATATCTCCTTTTAGAGATGCTAATTCTGGAGTTACATAATGCGGCAGGTCTGCTGGAAAAAGCACGATGCTCGTTAGACCGTAAACAAGCAAGGTTCCGAAAACAAAAACGGGAAACAATCCTACAATCAAGAGAACCTAAAAAGAACAATGGATAATTTGATTGGCCGCGTTCGACAGATTTATGGAACATTTTGCGCAGCTTTGCATTTTGATTGGTTCCAATTAGACGGTGCAGTTCTATTGTCTGAAGACTATTGTGCAATTCCTTAATTATTTCTGTTAATGAGACTTTCAATGCAGTCGCGTAAACTACCACTAGAAAGTCCCAACTAGCTGATATCTCACAACGAGAAAATTTTTGTTTCCAGCAGGCAACCGTTAACATAAATTGATCAAGAACTCGCGAAATGAGTCTTTGTTGAATACCTTTGAGAAGAACAAGCGAAAAATGCTACAGTTGCAATACCAACCTTCTAATATCGAGTCCATCGTCTGCCTGTATAAACTAGCTCTCATTCTGACGAAAAATAACTCTTCAGGTCTTTCAGGCAAGTAGTAAACCAGCAGCTCGGTATCTGGCGGTATGGGCTTAACAGCTTCATATACGGGTTCCCCGCGGACTTTGGTGGCCACAAAATTCACCGAAGGATTAAATGCAGATGCAACTCGCACAAATCGCACCCAATTACAGTGCCGGACTTTGTGCCCGTTATTTGACGACACCTCATCGTAGCAGCCGAAACGATGCCGGATCTGTAAATGAAAAAAAAAATTAATATCATTAGTAACCAAACCCAAAAACATTTGGGATAAATCGAATTAAATAATTCGATTCTCAAATTTCTGTATTCAATTTTTTAAATCCTGCTCTTGCTCTTCTGCTGCTGCTAATCCAAGAGCGTTTTAATGATTTTTATAAATTTTAATGTACGTACTTTCCTGACTGTGTTTCAATTCCAAATTAAAATCAAATCCTGGGCTCTTCAGTCATTTATTGTCTATTTATCAATTAAAAAAACGTTTCGGTGTTTTCCACCATCATCAGTTTCAATGTGTAGCGTTGTTGCTACTTTAA